ATACCCAGATTTATTTTCTCCTCATGCTTAAGCAACAAGTACTGTTTTTATTTATCTCTTAGCACTGAGATAAAAATCTTTAGGGGTAAACAAATTTTCAAGATTGACTACTCAATAAAGCGAATTTAAAAATCAGTCAAAAAGTTACCCATAGCTGGGTATGGTTGCCTACAGCTTTTATCCTAGCACTTAGAATCAGAAGCAATGAGTTGAGGGGGTCTCATCCACATAGCAAATAATGCTACTTAGTGAGATCCTGTCTTAAAAAAAAAATTACAAAAGCAAAATTACACACAAAAAAAACCCCAAAGCCTTACCCAAAGACTATACCTACCCCAAAACAGTTTCAAATCCTGTAAACAAGGTTGATGAATTATTACATGCAGGAAATAAGGGAGGAATACAAAGAAAGAAAGAAATTAGAACATGATGGTTAAGACCTCTTTTGCATGCTTGAGAGGCCAATCGTAAAGTTTTTTGCATCTAAGTGGATGTGTATGTATTTACTGAAAGAACACCAAACATTTGTTTCCACGTCTGTAGTATGTATGTATCAAAATTTCATAATGAAACACATTGTATTCTGCAGTTTGTATTTTTTAAAAAAAATCACACTTCAAAGATTTTTTAATAACTGATTTTCTGAGAATTCCCACTAAAATTAATGACTAGTGGTTGTGTATGTCTGCAATAACTACTCAGGAGGATGAGAAAAGACATTGGTTAAATATGACACTAACCTGGAGTACATATTAGGGTGCTATCTCAAAAATAAAATTTCTGCCTGGACCTTAGGCTTTTGTTCAAGTCATCATCTGATGCCCTGCCTGCTTAATTTATCCTTATTCATCTTTGTCTGCTTTTCTATATCTTCTACGGGTGACTTTAAAAAATTATTGCGCCGGGCGGTGGTGGCGCATGCCTTTAATCCCAGCACTCGGGAGGCAGAGCCAGGCGGATCTCTGTGAATTCGAGGCCAGCCTGGGCTACCAAGTGAGTCCCAGGAAAGGCGCAAAGCTACACAGAGAAACCCTGTCTCGAAAAACCAAAAACTAAAAAAATAAAAAAAAATAAAAAATTATTGCATTCACTTGTTTACTTATTTGTATGTAAATGTAGGTTCATATTTGGAGGTCAGAGGATAGTTTATGAGACTTGGTTCTCTCCTTCCACCACATGATTCCTGGCATTGAACTCAAGATATTGGGCTTTATGACAGGCCCATTTATTTTCTGAGGCATTTGTGCTGGTCCCTACATGTGACTTTGTACTATGCATTGTTCTTTTTTAAACTTTTTACACTTACTTGTGTGTGAGTGAGTGTGTGTGTGTGTGTGTATTTGTGAGTATGCACATTCCACAATATGTATGGCGGGGTCAAAGGACAGCTTGCAGAAGTTGGATCTCACTTATAACATGAGTCCCAGGGCTTGAACTCTGGTCATCAGGCATGGAGGTAAACACATTTACCAATTAAGCCTTCTTGCTGGACCACACTCAGCATGTTCTTAGAGGTTTAACTTATAGCTTTCAGCTTGCTTTACAAATGAAAACACCCTGGGATTTTTTCTTTGCCTTGGTATGTTTTATGCATGCCTGTATCTGAGGTTAGATTTAAACTGTTTCCTTATTTGGTTTTGTGTCCATGTTCTTAGGACATTTTCAAGCTGGCTTTAGAAATGTAAAAATACTGCATATGGCAACAGGTATAAATACAAACTACATTTGCCACACATTAGAGAAATATGACTTTAGTAGGTTGCATTGAAGTTCATATTACAGGAAATGACAGTGATGTAAATGTTGTTCCTGCATAAATTCTTTTTGTCCATTAGTTCTCAAAGAGAACACTTTAGGTGCTGGATAGATGGCTCAGTAGTTAAGAGTGCTTGCTGGTTTTCCAGAAGACCCAAGTTTGGTTCCCAGTGCCCAGATCAGGTTACTTAGGGGAATGCTGATGTGTAGCAATTTCCTCTGAGATAAAACATTTCATCTTGGACAGAAGGAAACTCATTAAGACCCAGGATGACCAGGCAGTAGTGGTGCATGCCTTAATCCCAGGATTTGAGAGGCAGAGACAGGCAGATCTTTGTGAGTTCAAGGCCAGCCTGGTCTACAGAGAGAGTCCCAGGATAGGTTCCAAAGCTACAGAGAAACTCTGTCTTGAAAAACAAACAAACCGGGTTGGGGATTTAGCTCAGTGGTAAAGCAAGCGCAAGGCCCTGGGTTTGGTCTTCAGCTCCAGAAAGAAAAAAAAAAAGAAAAGGGAAAACAAACCAACCAAAAAAGACTCAGTATATTCTGAAAAGAGGTGAAGCATTTCATCTCACTGGGAAGCTCATTAAAATAAACAACTCTAAAGCCTCAGGAACCTCCTGAAACAGACCAGATTCAACAGGCCCCTTGTTCTCCAAGATTATATAAACAGTAAAGACTGCAGAAAGATACTCTTAGTTCAGCATGGATGCCTTTTAGAGGCTCATAGGTGCCCAGACAAGATGCTGATGAGCTGCCTGTACCATGTGTGGTGTGCTACAGGTTTCCAACGTTTCTGAGCCATCATCTGTGTAGGGGGGAGCTTTTGGTGATGCTAAGGTCTTTCAGGCATTTTTGCTCACACATATTCCTGTAAGTAATACATAAAACACATTTGTTTATCAAGTTAGACTTTGATGATATCCTTACTTTGATCTGTCATCAGTTCCCTATCTGGGGTGAGTAGACATTTGTTCATGCCTCTTCAGAATTGGTGTCACAGATCCCACACCCTTTTCTGGCCACCAAAAGTGTGCACACAACCACACAAATTTTTTTTAAAAAATACAATTTGCATGTTGACTTCCTTACTCAGGGCTATGACTCTTAGTTTCTATATGTTTTAAGTTGATTAGTTATATTTTTGTTATCATTCTTTTTGTCATGCATTCATTTGTGAATTTGCACACTTGATTCTTTGGTATTGCATTGGCTCTTGATAGCTTTTTGCTTGGTTGTCTTTCACTGTCCTTGATTTTCATATATTAACATATCTCCATATGGTCTATACAGAAGGTTTTTTTTTTTTCTCATGAGGAAATTCTGTTCTTAAATCCAAAGGTCAGTTGGCTATTTTTCAAACTTCTACTATAAGACCAGTGTTTAAAGATGCTTACATAGTCTAGAGCAGTGGTCCTCAACCTGTGGGTTGTGACCCCATTTGGGTTGAAAGACCCTTTCACAGGGGTGGCATATCAAGTGTTTACATTATGATTCATAACACTAGCAAAATTACAGTTAAGTGGCAACAAAATAATAATTTTATGATTCAGGTCATCACAACATGAGGAACTGAATTAAAGGGTTGAAGCATTAGGAAGGTTGACAACCACTGGTCTACAGTGAATATTATCTCACTGTCTTCCTGTGTCAGGCTCAACATTTTTTTATTCTATAAAAACTACCAGACATGACACAGGGTTTTATTTTCATCTTTCTCATTTCTAGGTAAACTTTGACTATTGTGCATGGACCGGAGGAATATACTATGCATGCTTCCAAGTAGAAACCAAATTTTCACCACCTTATATAGTAAAGATATTGTGGATAAAGGCCTGCTCTATTAAATGAGTTTTCTCACTTATGTCCACATTGCTTTCCTCTGATCTCTTCATCTTCATCTTTATCTTTTAATATACTAAAACTATAATTTAATATAGCTTCAAAGTCTGTCTTTATGTTTTCTTTTCCTGTTTTGCTGTACCAACCAGGCAGGTCTTGAACTCAAAAGTCTTCCTTCCTCAACCTTGTGAGTACTGATCAAGGTATCATTTCCATATTTCTAGTCATTTAAATGTCATCCCAGTTCATACAGATTTGAAAAAGTAGTTTTTATTAAACAGCTAAAAGATTCATGGGAATTAAGAGAACTTGATGGTTCCATTAAAGATTAATTTTATGACATTGAGTACATGTCACAAAAGAACATATACTAGTATGGTTCCCTTGTGTCATTATTCATTCTTCAATAAAACTTGTAATGTTCATATATTAGCATAGGAAACTGCCCGTGGTGAATCTTCTTTAGTATTAAATGAAGGTTGGTGTGTAAAAAGCTGTTTCTGACCAATAAGAACCTGAAGATGTCTCTGGTGTAGTTATAGAATGTGTGCTCAGTGGCATGGGTTTTTTTTTTGTTTTTTGGGGGGTTTTTTTTGGCATTTGATTATTTGTATGTCTGTATACTCATGGCCTTTGGTGTATGTTTGGTGGCTACACACACACACACAAACAATCACACATACATATGACATACATACTCATATATGTAATCTGTTATTTGGGAAGGATTTTAAAATCTATTCAAAAGACATTTCTATATTTTTCTCACCTATTTGGTATTATGACTTCATATTCCTTTAGTGGTATTGGTCTCATAGGATGAAAGTTGGTTTGTAGTTTTTTGTTTTGTTTTGTTTTTTGGTTTTTTTTTTGCTTTATTTTCACTTTTTATTTTGTGTATATGTGTGTCCTAGTTCACTTTCTATTGCTGTGGTAAACACTATTACCAAAAGCAATTTGGGAAAAAAACAGTTTATTTGACTTATACGTCCTGATGATAATCCATCATTGAGGGAAACCAAGGCAGAAACTCAAGCAAGGCAGGAACTGAAGCAGAGACCATAAGGGAATACTATTCACTGGCTTGCTTTTCATGACTTATTTAGCCTGTTTTGTTATACAACCCAGGACCACTTGCCCAGAAGTGATACTGCCTACCATGGATTGGGCCCTCCCATATCAAACATAAATCAAGAAAATGTCTCACATATTTGCCTATAGGCCAGTATTATGAAGACATTTTTTCAGTTGAGATTTCCTATTCCCAGATGACTCTAGCTTGTATCAAATTGACAAAAACAAAGCAACAAAACTCCACAAACTAATCAGTGCAGTGTGGGGGTGGGGGTGGGGGGAGGATACCTGCAGAGGTCAGAAGAGTGGGTGAGAACACTTGGAGCTGAAATTGCAGGTGGTTTTGAGCTGGCTGATGAGTGCTGGGGACTCCCCTGAGAGACCAACAAGTACTCTTAACCACTGAGCTGACTCTCAGTCTCATCTGTTTTTATCTTCTGGAAGAGATTGCAAGTTGTTGACATCACATTTTCACTAAATGTTCCAGAAAACAAATCAGAAAGAGCCTGGACTTGCTATTTCTCTTCCAGAAAGGTGTTCCTCGGTTTGATTTGCTTTTCATTGTATTTAGGCTTGGTGCTGGCTGTGATGTGCTTGTACCACAACAGAATAAGGGTCAGGGACAGCTTTCAGAAGTTGGTTCTCTTCGATGCAACTTAGACTATCAAACTTGGCAGCAAGCTTTCGTATCTGGCCTTGGTGTAACACATTTTGACAGTAGATGTTTCATGTTATCGATCAGACGAGTGATGTGATTGTTTATATTTTTTTATTCTATGAGAATTTTACATGTGTGCATAATAAAATATGATCATAGCTGTCCCCCATTTCCACTTCAAACTTCCTGTATATCCTCATAACATGTTTCTTGCCCAACTTCATGTCTTTTTTTCTTCCTTATAAACCATTAAGCTTAATTAGTACTGCCTATATGTACATGGGTATGGTACCATCCACTGGTGCATAGGAAACTACCAGTGGCTACACGTAAAAGAGTGATTCTCTCTCCCCCAGCAGCTCCCACCTGTCACTAGCTCCTTAGTAAGGGTTGAGGCATGAAGTGAATCTCTCTGTTTATGCCAAGATTTTGTCTGGCTTGATCTTGTATAGATAACCTTAGATGCCATGAGTTCACAAGTACAATAGTCATGTTATGTCCAGAAGTCGGCATTTTATAGCACTCCTCTTCTCCACCTCTGGCCCTTACATTCTTTCCACCTCTCCTCTGATGTTCCTTTAGCCTTGGGCATGAGGGAACTATAGCATGAATCTTAAAAGTTCTTATTAATAAAATCAAACCTGAGGCCAGTTATTGGGGTCAATGCTGGTAGATCAGAGAGATGGAACAAGCCACAGCTACTCACCTCGCCGGATCCTCAGCTGGTCTTGTCTCCTCAGACTGGAGGCCTCTGAGTCTTCATCCAGAATGGGTCTCAGCTGAATTGCTGCTCAAAAGCCTGAATGCTTAACCAGCCAAATTTCTACCACCACTCTCTGGGATTAAAGGCTTGCTTTCTGGGATTAAAGGCGTGATGAGTCACCATGCCTGTCTGTATCCTTGAACACATCGATTTCTGCCTCTGGAATGCTAGGATTAAAGGTGTGTGCTACCACTGCAGGGAACTGATTAAAATGTTCTGTTTAGGGCTGACATTCATAGTCTTTTTCTTTTCTGTTTTTTTTTTTTTTTTATTTTTTTATTTTATATACAGCATGTATGACCAGAAGAGGGCACCAGATCTCATTACAGATGGTTGTGAGCCACCATGTGGTTGCTGGGAGTTGAACTCAGGACCTCTGGAAGAACAGTCAGTGCTCTTAACCTCTGAGCCATCTCTCCAGCCCTCTTTTCTGTTTTTGAGTCAGGGTTTCACTGTATATGTAGCTCTAGTTGTCCTGGAATTTACTATGTACACTAGGCTAGCCTCAAATTCAGAGATCCATCTGCCCCTGCCTCCTCTGTGTTGGAATTAATGGTGTGCACCACCATGCCTGGCACATCATAGTCTTGATAAGAGAGAATTCATCTAAATTTCATTGGTGTTTTAATCTCTTAGTATGTCAGAAATAGGTAAATAGTTGGAAAGTTACTAGGAGTATATAAAATACTATTTTGTTGTTATAAAGCATTGCATGGCAGCGATTCCCCCTTTATAGTTAAGCTGGTTGTTTCTATTCCAGTGGATGTCACCAGGCTTCATAATTAGCTTCTATTGACAAATAGACATTTCTCATAACTATACAGGCTCCATAGAGCTGGTGTCTACTCTGGTGGGTTTTAAATTACTAAAGATGCAGTGTACAAAGAATTTAGGCAAACATCACAACAGGTAGTCCTGTTCTGGTGTTCATTTATCATACAGTTCCATACTGGCATGAGAATTGTGTGACACTGTGAGAGTTAGAATGAATAGTAAATGTGTATTTACTATTTGTAAATAGTAAAAAGTAATGCTAGCCATGATGTATAAGGAATAGATGAAGAACAAAACATGAAATGAAAGAATCAAGTCTCTCTATTTCCAGTGTTTTCTCAACATTAATCTCATAAATGTATGTGGATTATTTTAGGAGCCAGTAACCTTTGAGGATGTGGCTGTGAACTTCACCTTAGGAGAATGGGCTTTGTTGGATTCTTATCAAAAGGAGCTCTACAAAGATGTGATGAAGGAAACCTTTAGCAACCTGATCTCCATAGGTAAAAAATACAGCGTGATTCTTTTCCTTGTTCATTCAGAGAAATAACTGTTTCTTGCTCTTCTGTGTAGTTGCATAATTTGAAATATTGAAAGATGTTGGTGAATATTGTATGCTTTGTTACATTATACCACAGTGGTGGGTGGGAGGGGACTAGAATGAAATGATTTTTAATGTAATATTGAATAATAACTTTCCTTGGGTTTACCTTTCAGGGAAAGCCGAAGAACATATTGGAGAAGATTACCAAAACATTAGGAGAAATCTGAGGTAATTTACACTCAAAGAAAAAAGAATTTACATTAAATACTTGAGAGTAATAGAAAATCTGCGGTCCAAGTACAGCTAAATGTAAATTGATTCAATCTAAAACTTCATTGAACTTGAGCATTCAGAATTAAAGGATCCCAAGTCTGTAATGTAATCTTGCACAATATCATGTAACCTTAAATTATATGGGACATTTTTCTAATTCTTTCATTATACAAAAACTTTCCTTTATGCACAAAATTATCTAATATATTTTTATCATGTTGCCTTTAGGCTTTGAATATAAGATGTATGTGAATAAAAGTGTGTTTGTGATATATTGTAACCTACCTTCAATAACTGCATTAAAGTACTCAGCTGTCCCAATTCCATAAAGCCTGACCCACACCATTTTTCATAAGGAATATTCGACTTTGGTAACTTGAGATACTTAAAGAACAAAGCATGACAAGGGCTAAACAAATTACTGTGTGTCTGCAGTGTTTTTTCACCATTCTTTTTGTAATTGTGTGTGGATTATTTTAGAAGACAATATTAGAGAAACTAAGAAGATTGTTATTCTCAGGGCCTGTGGCTCAATGTTCAGTCCTTTTAGGTTCATAAATTCTTGTGGCAATGGTCAACACTCTTTTTTTCCCATAGGATGAGGTCTTTCTATGTAGCTTATGTTGACTTCGAACTTGCTGTCCCTTTGCCCTTGCCTTCTAAATACTGCAGTAACAAGTGTGTACCGCAATACCCAGCCTCCAACACTTTTCTTGGGTAGCCATAAAACTACAGTAATATTCTTTTCATCTTTTGCAGCACTCATATGGTTAAAGGATTCTATGAATTTCAACGTGGTATTCAGTATGGAGAAGCCCCTCAAAAGATTCAAGAGCATATTGTTAATGAGTGCACGTCTCCTGGAATAATAGTATGTGAAAACAGTGTGTGTGAAAATGATGTCATTGGTCTTTCACAGTCAGATGTGCACCTCAAAGGTCCAACTGTAGAGAAACCATATGCATATCAGGGACATGTGGAAAAGCTTTTTAAACATAAGAAATGTTGGAAAGATTTTACACATTCTGAGTCCTTTCTTACCTATGAGAATCCTTCCAGACAGAAACCCTATGAAAATAAACTATCTAATGAGCACTGTAGGAGTCTCACTTCTGATCAAGATTGTGAGACAAATCGTAGTCTCCGTGAATATAAGCAGTTTGAAACCGCTCTCATGACATGTAGTTATGTTCAGTCATATGAAAAACTCCAAACTGGAGAAAAACCATTTGTATGTAAGCAGTGTGGAGAAACCTTCATTAATTCCAGTCACCTTATCAAACATCATAAAATTCATACTAGAGAGAGGACTTTTGCATGTAAGTATTGTGGAAAAGCTTTCATCCATCCAAGGGCCTGCTATAATCATGAACGAACTCACACTGGAGACAGACCTTATGTGTGTAAACAATGTGGGAAAGCATGTATTCATTCTTACCACCTTCTCCAACATGAAAGAAGTCACAGCCGAGAAAAACTTTATGCATGTAAGCAGTGTGGGAAAGTATTTGGACGTTCTTCATACCTTCGTAAACATGAAAGAATTCACACTGGAGAGAAACCTTATTTATGTAAGCATTGTGGAAAAGCATTCAGTGATCCCACAACCCGTAACAATCATGAAAGAACTCACACTGGAGAGAAACACTATGTTTGTAAACAGTGTGGAAAAGCCTTCATTCGTTCCTCTCAGCTTCTGATCCATGAAAGAATTCACACTGGAGAGAAACCTTACTCGTGTAAACATTGTGGGAAAGCTTTCACCTATTCCAGTGCCTGTTACATTCATGAAAGAATTCACACTGGAGAGAAACCTTATGTATGTAAGCAGTGTGGGAAAGCATTTACATGTTCCACATACCTTCACAAACATGAAAGAATTCATACTGGAGAGAAACCTTATTCATGTAAGCAATGTGGGAAAGCCTTCATCCAACATAGGGCTTGTTACAATCATGAAAGAATCCACACTGGAGAGAAACCATATGTATGTGTGCAATGTGGACATGCATTCACTTTTTCAAAATCCCTTCAAATACATGAAAGAAACCATACTGGAGAGAAACCATATGTATGTAAGCAATGTGGGAAAGCATTCACATGTTCTACGTATCTTCACCAACATGAAAGAACTCACAATGAAAAGAAATCCAGTGGGTAGAACTTATACTAATATAAATCATGTGAGAGTCTTTGTAGCCAGCTTGCTGTTATTGCAAGGAGAAAGAAGTATGGAAAGAAACCAAGAGAATAGGAGATCAGCAGTTGTGTAATTTTTACTTACATATGCAAGTGTACATAGGATAAAACCTGTTGTTGTACTAGGCTCGGTGCATGCCTTTTATTCCTACACTAGGGCAATGGAGTTTTAGAGAATTGCAATATTGAATAAACCTTAGTCTACATTGTGGGTTTGAGCATTGCTTGGGAGATTTAAGAAGAACCATTTCTAACCAAATAAAATTTGTCATTGTAAAAATATAAAAGAAAATTTTATGTTTCAAGTAAGAGTCATTACATTTTCTGATGCAGTTGATTATTGTATAAGCAAGAAATGTGAAGAGCCGGAACAATTTTTTTGTAGAATATTACTGAAAACCTGAAATACACTAAAAATTTTAATAAATATTTTAATTTTTATTCCATTCTTATGCATATGCAAGACCTCTTGACTTAAAAAAAAAACTTTTGAAGTATGGTTTGGCAAGTAAAATGACTGACATTATTTCCCCTGCCTGTTTTCCTTGATGGCTGGAAAGCTGGGGCAGGACAAGAACTTTAGCCCACAGTTGAAAACTTCCAGGACACTTTGCAAGCAACAACAACAGCAACTGTATAAAGAAACTACTTGAATTTTGGTGATGAAAGTCGGTTTGGTAAATCAATTGAATTTCATTTTAATGGCTGTTTTTAAATCAAGTAATATAGTCTCCTTTGCTAGAAAGCTGTATTGGATTTGTTAAATTCAGATGCATTTTTAGTCATCCAGTATGCTTAATTTTTGAGTAACAGTGTTTCATGTGAAGTTGAAAACGTATATCTGTTGTTGGTGTTTTCTGGCTGTCATTTTATGGCATGTTCTTTTTTATACTATTATTATTAATTGCTTGGCAGTTTCCTTACATTTAGGTGCATACTTAGATTTTCTCAGAGTAACATTCTTACATAGATTTTATATTTTGTAGTTTATTTTCTTCCAAAAAGTTTTTTCTGTTGTATTTATTTATGTGTGTGTGTGTTTGTATGTTTGCCATAGCGTGGGTGTGATGCTCAGTGGACAACATTCACGATTATTTGTGTGTGTGTGTGTGTGTGTGTGTGTGTGTGTGTGTGTGTGTGTGTGTGTGTTTGTATGTTTGCCATAGCGTGGGTATGATGCTCAGTGGACAACATTCACGATTATTTATTTACGTGTGTGTGTGTGTGTGTGTGTGTGTGTGTGTGTGTGTGTGTGTGTTTGTATGTTTGCCATTCACGATTTTCTTCCCTGCCATGCTTCCTCAGCAAGCACTTTTACTCCTTTGAGTCTCATCACTGGCCAAGTGTGATTTTTGAACTGTCATTGTTTTCTTTTGTTTATTGGCACATTGTCTGTCTACATAGCTCTGTCTTTCCAGGAGCTCACTATGGAAACCAGGCTGGCCTCAAACTCACAGAGATCTGCCTGCCTCTGCCTCCCAAGTGCTGGGATTAAAGATGCATGTGACACCATACCAGGCTGACTTTTGTACATTTTTTCCAATAAATATATTAAAGAATGTTATCTTTCCCATTTACTCAGAAGGCATCTTCATATTCAACATAGTTTAAAATTGTATATGTTTTTTGTTTGTTTTGCTTTGTTTTTGGCTTTTTGAGACAGGGTTTCTCTGTATAACAGCCCTGTCTGTCTTGAAACTCACTTTGTGGACCAGGCTGACCTTGAATTCACGCAGATCTGCCACACTCAGCTTAAAATTGTGTATTCATAAGTTAAAATCCATTGCCGTATTCATCAGTTTGAAACTGGTTTTTAACATGTAAAATTTATTTTATGCTTACATGGTTCAACTTTTATTATGTTTTTCTTTGCTCGTCAAAACAACAAGTGTACTAGGCTGCTGTAAGTTGTTCTCTGGCCAAAAATGAGCAAGATCATACCATTTATCTCAATAAAATGTAATGACTTCTAGTGAATCTTTTCAATTAAAATTAATGACAGTGTTATTCCTCACTAGATGCAATTTCTAACCTGCTTGGTATTTGTTTTAAATGGTTTGAATACACTTTAATATAGTTTGGAGTTTCTATTTGTTAAAAGTGCTTTATGGTTGAATATAGTTCTATCTTTTGTGATTGTAATAATGGTCTCACCTGGAAGGTTGTGATATAGTGAAAGGAAGTAGTAATTCATAAGTACAAGTTAATCTTATCTTTAAAGGGTGGCAATTTTGTTCATTTTCATGATTCAGATTATCTTTGAATTTTCAGGCAGATTTCCGGAATGTTACTATTCTTAATATATCCTAGTTACTGAGGAGAATTTCCTACTTTTCCAAGTGTCACTTTTCTAGGCATTGCTTTGCCCTGCTTTACTTGTTATCTACTAAGTATTTCATTACAATATATTGAACTCTGTTTTCCACTAATACCAGTGCTTCTTTGAGTCCATAGATTGTATCCTTTTAAATAATGACAAGTGGGAAAAAAATGAAGATTTATATTTAATACATCCAAACTGGTGAACATTAACCCTTAGCCTACACTGTTACATTGCCATAGTTACTTAGTGTAAAGTTCGTTAAAATCATCAAACCATGTGTATTTCATTTGAGTGTAATGGGCTATTTAGTGCTTGCTAATTTTGTGTATGTGTATACATGATCATCACAGTGCATCACTACTGCTGCCCCTAATCATGATACCAGAAAGTATAGTTCAGCATATTTGCTACCAGCATGAGATTAGGCTTTAAGAGTGTATGCCATTTATTTATCTTTGCTCTTTTGCTTTCCCCTTGTCATGTTATTCTTTTTTTAAAAGCTCATGTCATAAGTGAGTTATCTTTCTTATGTCAATGCAAATACATAAGTCCATTCAGTCAGGTGTATTAAAATCTCCTAATCTCCTTTATGTCTATAAAACTAGAAGTGTGTGTATATGAGTTTTGCCAATAGATGCCTAGTAATGGATACAGACAGCATTATTGCTTCAAACAAGTTTGTGATTCTCCAAAAATATGTATTAGACTGCACTTTTCAAATATATTTCACATGTCTGCATGGTAGATTAGGAACTTTTAGAATTAAGCATGCAATATGGAGGTACCTTGGTTCTCTACACTGTTATAGAAAAACTTATTGTGGCAATGCCTGGTGTTGATAATTTGAAAAAGCTGAAGTGATATGCAAATATTGAACAAATTGTTATAAGATGGAAATAGAGCTAGGGTTAGAATTCAGTTTTAGAACATTTGTCCAACATTTTTACTTTGGCTTTGATCCTCACCACTGCCAGAACAAGAAGAGAAAGCAAAGATCAAAATAAAGGTTGTTAATGAAATTAAAGTTTGTAAATATGATTTACTCAGAGCAAACTGATACTTCATTTGTTTTATCAGATAACTTTTTTTCATATCGGATAATGCATTTTTAAAAAGTAGTTGGGTACATTGCCTCATCATTTCATTTCTGTTGGTCTCTCTAAATTTTCTAGGCTTTTGGGAGATTCTTTTTATGTATAATAAACTGGGTGAAAGAATTATATAAAATAGAATGTCTATAAATGTTGAATTCTACATTAGAAAGTAATTTTAGTTTTTGAGAGTTGGTATGAGGAGGAAGTAACTTTCATACATTGCTGATTAGTTGGAGCTCTTTGCTTAGAATTCTGTTTATTTTATCAGCCCTTTTGAATTCTTGGTATTTATTTGTACATTTCATTTCTTTGTGTGCGTGTGAGAGAGAGAGTTCATGGGCACCACATGTATGGAGGACTGAGCCCACAGAAGCCAGAAGAGGTCATGAGATTCCCTGAAACTTGAGTCACAGGAGGTATGAGTTACCATGTGTGCTGAGAATTGAACCTGAGTCCTCTGCAAGAGCCATAAGTGCTCCTAACCTTTGAGCTGTTTCTCCAGCCCAGTAATTAGTTGTTTGCATATGAATTTAATTGTTTGCATACATATTAGTCCACTGTTGGCTATACATATGGATGGATCCTCTATCAACAAAGATTTTCTTCTACTCTGTAAGCTTTTCACTAAATTCTTTTCTTGTATTGTAACTTTTTAATGAAATTCTGTATTTTAATACTTGCCTTTATTTCCTAAGTAGTTGGGGTGTGTTTTTTTGTGTATGCACACAAGATTTAACAGAAAACAAATAGGTTACTTTCCACATTTTCCAGGTTGTGAAAGATTTGTCAAGCTCACCTGGAGCTGAATTAGTGGACCAAATGCAAATGCAGTCATCCACACCAAAAGGAAGTGGAGACAGACTGGACTCTCCCAAGGCCCCTCCAGCACCCAGGCCAGGCTAGAATATTTGGTGGCTCTGCTCTGAGTCTTTTAAAGAGTGTATTTTCTGTGCCTACTTTGAAGTGTTTCCTTCTGTTTCTTTTAAGAGTTTTTGGAGTTTTGGGTCGTATATTAATTTTAGAAAGCAAGATAAGAGTTTCTATCTTCTAAATGTAGATGTGCACTTATTTAAGTACCAGTTTGTAGAATAGGAATAGGAATAGGAATCTTTTCTCTATTATATATTTGTGGTATCTGTGGAAATCAGGTTGCTGCAGCCATGTGGATTTACATCCAAGTCCTCTGTTCTGTTCCATTGCTTTGCATGTTTCAGTATGTTGCTGTTTGCTCGAAGTTTCTTTAATTTTCTGTGGCCTTGATTTCATATAACTTTCAGATTTTTTTCTCTATTACTGTGAAGAATGTGATTAGAATTTTGGTACAGATGCATGGAATTTGTAGATTTCATATAGACACATTTTCACAACACTAATTCTGTCATCTCATAAGCATGAAAGGTCTTCCAGCTTGTAGTGTTGACTTTAACACTTTCCTTCAACCTTTAAATTTTTCAGCTTTACTTCCTTGTGTAGGTTTATTTCAGCAGGGTTTTGTAGTTGAAGATGATCATTTTTTAATGTGTCTCAGTGTGGGCTTATGTACAGAAGTGAAGGTTTCTATAGAGGTCAGCGGGGTCAGACAGCCTTGAGCTGGAGTTAAAGACAGTTGTTTCCCATCTGGCAGAGGCAGGTGGATCTCTGAGTTTGAGAACTTGTTTTTTTTTTTTTTTTTTTTTTTTTTTTTTTTTTTTTTTTAAAGATTTATTTATTTATTATGTATAGTATTCTGCCTGCATGTAAGCCTGCACACCAGAAGAGGGCACCAGATCTCATTATAGATGGTTGTGAGCCACCATGTGGTTGCTGGGAATTGAACTCAGGACCTCTGGAAGAGCAGTTAGTGCTCTTAACCTCTGAGCCATCTCTCCAGTCCCGAGTTTGAGAACTTGTATCCATTGCAAGAGTAACAAATGCTGTTACCCATCTCTCTACACCCTCATGTGTCTGTTGTGAATGTGATTGTTTTCCTGATTTCTTTTACAGAATTTTTGCTGTTATGACATAGGAAAGCCTCTGATGTTTGCATGCCTGGTCTACATATCAAGTTCTAAGCCAGCCAGGATATGCAACAAGGTGTTCTCAAAAAAAAAAAAAAAATATGTAGTCATAGGATATCTTGTCAACTTTTTGCAATTAGCCCTGGCTGCCCTGGAAGTCTATGTACACTAGGCCGGCTTCAAACTCAAAGATCCACGTGACTCTGCCTCCTGACTACTGGGATTACAGGTGTGTGCCATTATACCAGGCACCTTTTGTAATCTTTGTTTTTATACTTATTAATTTGGTGTGTGTGTGTGTGTGTGTGTGTGTGTGTGTGTGTGTGTGTGTGTTTGTGTGTGTGTGTGTGTGTGTGTGTGTGAGAGAGAGAGAGAGAGAGAGAGAGAGAGAGAGAGAGAGAGAGAGAGCGCGCGTGCATATGCCAGGATGTCGGCGGAAGCCAGTGGAAAACTGGCTGGAGTTGTTAACTGTAAGTAACTGTGTTGTAACACTCTGGGGGTTTGGTCCTGGGTTTTGGCACAAAAATGTAAGTAACTGTTGCCACTCTGGGAGTTTGGTCCCAGGTTTTAGCACCAAAATGTGAGTTTGTTGCAATTCTGTGAGGTGAGTTTTGCAACTCTTGGGGAATGGTATCCTGACTACTTGGGGAATCAGGCAACACCTTGAGCTGCTAGGACAGCTCTGATGGCTGGAGCTGAAATGAGGCAACTCAGCCCTGGGAGTACCCTGGACACCTCAAGCTGGAAGAGCAGCTCTGACAACTGGAGCTGAGATGAGACAGCTCAACCCCAGTGGGCGAGGTATTCTGGATACCTTGAGCTGCTAGGACAGCTCTGGTGACTGGAGCTGCAATGCGACAACAGCTCTGGAAGGGAAGGTATTCTGACTGCTCAGGAGGGTCCGGTCTGGAGCTGCTAGGACAGCTCAGCCCTGGAAGGGAATGTATTCTGACTGCTCAGGAGAGTCAGGCCTGGAGCTGCTAGAACAGCTCAGCAGAGAAGGGTATCCTGACGGTTCAGGAATCAGGCTATACCTGGTGTCTTGGGGTTTAGTCTCCCTGCAAGGGAGAGCTTAAGGGGGCTTCCTAGCAGAGCTCTGTTTCTTCTCTGGCCTAAGATGTTGCTTCTTTTTGCTCCACTCTGCAAAAGGGGAAACCCCTGCAGAAATTTAGCAATTTCCTCTGGCTCTGGAGAAAAGTGTTACTTTTTCAGCTCCCCCTTACTCAGTCCCCTGAAGGACGTCTCAGCAAGGTTTTTCTGTTCAGCTCCCCCTTGCTCAGTCCACTATGGGACGTCTCAGCAAGGTTCTTCTCTGTGCCAGTGAATGAAGATCTTCACACCCAAAACCCTTTTGAGGAAGAGATTTATTTGGGAAAGAGGAACACCCACAACTGACCAGGCAGGGCAGTTTATGTAGGATCTCTTGGGGGCAGAGTCAACCAGGGATTAATTATTTTTTTTTTTTCTGGTCAGGGATTGGTCACTTTTGTGGGCTAGGGGCAGAGATGGCTGATTTCAGGGCCAAACTGTGTTTATTTCACTGACCTTTCTTAGCTTTTTGGCTCTAATTCTAAGGCCAGGGCACATTTCTTTCACTGACTCTGATTCTAGGGACCAAGAGTGTTTCTTTGGTACTGGTTTCAGAGTCAGGGCATGTTTCCTTGGTTCTGGGTTTGGGGATAATGTGTTCCTTTCTATGGCTCAGGCCCCAAACCCAGGCTGTGTTTTTCCCCCTAGTTCTGGGCTCCGGGGCCAGGGTACTACTTTCCTGCTCTGTGATTGGTTGGTTTCACAGGTCAGTGTGCCAGGGGCAGAGATGGCTCTGATCTCGCTGAGTTTCTTTTGCCAGCCTCTTTTCCCTACATTAACTGATAACACCATTATAGGTCTCATACCTTTACCCGCTGATACATCTGTCCAGTCCCCTGTTTGAAATCTTTACCCACTGTCCATGTAAAGAAACAGGAAAATTTGACACAAAACTTTAATTATTTACTACCTTCTTACAGTTTCTTTCTTTAGTGTCATATTCTTTATTTATGTATTTTATGTATATGGGTAACATATTTACATATATACCTGCAAGCCAGAAGAAGGCCTCAAATCCCATTATAGATGGTCATGAGATGGTTGCTGGAAGTTGAACTCAGGACCTCTGGAATAGCAGCCAGTGCTCTTAACTGCTGACCCATCTCTCCAGCCTCTAAAAAACAGTTTTTAATAATAGAAAAAAAAACATTAATACTTCTGAGCCAGTATAACAGGAATTCCAATGTACACTGAAAGAACAGTGGTACTTTATTGGAGAGAAAAGATGGAATTAATGCTTTCTGGGATTATCTTATTTCAGAAGCATGAGTTCTTTATTCATGTGTTAGATCTTGTACAAACCTGCTTCTGTAATGATGTGACCATGTGTCTAATTCTAATGTAAGTTTTATTAACAGATGCTCTCATGAGAACCTGAGTTTAAGCAATAAATAATGATAGCTGTCATGTCTACATATGCTATTTAGCTAAAAAGATTTTCAAAGATTGAGTTGAGCTATAATTTTAAAGGAAATTGTATGTTTTCCACATTAATTCATATTATTATATCATGAGAAGCAAAATCTCTACTAAGTTAAAATTATTCTTGAATTTTTTTTAATATTTGACCTAGTTTCCTAGATATTGTGAAGCAGAAGTTTCAGAAGTTCAAATCAGTGGTTCTCAATTTTTCTAATGCTGCAACTTTTCAATATAGTTCCTCATGTTTGGTGACCCACCAACCATAAAATTACTGTGTTGCTACTTCATAACTGTAATTCTGCTACTGTTGTGAATTGTAGTGTAAATATCTGACATACAGGATATCTGATCTGTGACCCCTGGGAAAATGTCGTTTGACCCCCAAAGAAGTCATTATCCACAGTTTGAGAATGGCTGGTCTAAACACCATCTACAGGGCCCTAAGACATTTTATTTATTTTCAGTGACTTGTTAGGATATGTTTTCTCCACCCATCAATCCATCTTTTAAAACATTTCATTTCATGTATATGGGTGGTTTGCCTGTATGTATGTCTGCATTTTGTGTGCCTGGTGCATTTGGAATCCAGAAGAGGATATCAGATCCCCTGGGACTAAGGTTACTGATAGCTATTAACTACTGTGTGGGTACTGGGAACCCACATGGCAGCTGAGCCATCTCTCTCCAGTACCTATGTTCTTTCATTTGTTCTTTTTCTTATATTTCATCCTGTGTGTGTGTGTGTGTGTGTGTGTGTGTGTGTGTGTGTGTGTGTGTGTGTGTGTGTTGCAGCACATGGATAAAGCATTTGCTGCCAATTGGGTACAATGTCAATGTATTTGATATCCCACACTGAACCCCTAGTTCAGTTCTTTCTAGTGAATTCTGCAGCTAGTAGGAGTTTTACCCAGCTCTGAAAGCTGTAAACATGACTTTATCACTGTATTGCCATCAAGACCATTTTTACATAACAATCAAAATTGAAATATTATTGTCAAAAATAGGTTTTAAAGGAATTATAGGAGAAAAATAATGCAACCACACATATTAGGGACTGAGTCACTAAAGTGTGCAGAGGAAGAACTGGGTCCTATCAACAGAAATTAAGTGAAAAAGAAAAGGCTGGTCATAATGACACAACCTTATAACCCAATGCTGGGGAGATGGAGACAGAGGGATCCCTGATACTCTGGCCAGCCATCCTACCCTATTTCTTGAGCTCTGGGCCAGTGAGAGACCCTGTCACAACAACAAAAAATGTGGACCACACCTGATTGACTGACAGCATAGGTTATCCTTTGGCTACCACATGCATGCATATGTGCACATTCAATATAATAACTGAGCCATGGGCCTGCAGAGATGACTCAACAATAAGGAACACTTGCTGAGTTCAATTCCCAGTACCTAGGTTGGGTGGCTCACAATAACCTATAATTCCAACTCTAGCAGATCCAATGCCCTCATAGATGCACATTTTTTTAAAAAAGCTAAATCTTTTTTTAAACTTGAGACATGAGAGAACTGTGGTTGGTATGTAAAATGAATAAAAATAAAAATAAAACCCTGAAACAACTCCAAAGAAATGACAAAGTTGGTCAACTCTAAGGTTGAAAATTGAAAATAAAAAGACTTGGAGAGATAACTCCATTCATTGCAAAGGGGTTCAAATGCAATAAGGCATATTAATGTGATTCAGCCACCAGACCAATAGACACCTAGTATAATTACAAAAGAAAAAAGTTTTAAAAAGTGTTCATGGGCCAGTGAGATGGATCAGAGTGTAAAAGCCATTGCCACACAAGTCTAATAATCTGAGCTCATAGTAGAAGAAGAGATCTGAGCTGGGTGGTGGTGGTGCATGCCTTTAATCCCAGCACTTGAATGACAGAGGCAGGGGGATACCTGAGTTTGAGGCCAACTTGGTCTACAGAGTGAGTTCTAGGACACCAGAGATACACAGAGAAACCCTGTCTTGAAAAACCAAAAGCAAAAAATGAAGGAGGAAGAGGAAGAAGATGGAGGAGGAGAAGAAGAAAGACCTGACTCCCAGAAGTTGGCCTTTGACCTCCAACCTTAATCTTGACTATAAGTATGGTTGGATTGAAAGTCACTTTTAATGTCAACCCCATTTCACAATGTGTCTCTGAGCAAATATACAGAAGAAATTGACATGAGGATCCTCGAAGTGAGGTTGGGAATTCCTGGCCTGTATATGAGCAAACTATAATGGGCAGGATTGCTGAAATGAACAATTAGCAGAAGAGCTAAGACGGCTTTGAGGATTTTTTTTAACTGTTACATCTTTTTTCCCCTGCCAATATCTGAAAACATCAGAATCCATCTTCATCCTTTGCTTAAACTAGCAACTCTTCAAGGGACTCCCAGGCCTTAGGTTCAGATTGCTTTTGGATCATCTGTTCCTCTTGATCTGAGGGTTCTTACATAGGGTCTGAGCATATACTTGTTTAGAAATCTCTCTAGCCTGTAAATAGCACTGCTGTATTTTCCATGAAGATTGTATAAATCAATCTAATAAATTCCTCTTAAAGTGCTGCCTAAATTCTGTTGGTGAGAAAACTCTGACTTCCCCCTGGGAAAATATTGTTTTGAGCAGGAGCACCTCTACTCATGTACTTTACAGCACTTGGACGTTACTGAGCCCTTACTACTAATATTTCATATCAACATCTTACTAAGTCAAATAAATACTCCTCTCTTGGTTATGTTTTGGTTTGGTTTTACATTGCTCAAGAACACCAGAAAGTGTGGGTGGGGGATGCTGCAAAATGTTTAGGGCATGACATGGCTGTTGTATACATTAACTCAAAGCAACTGCAGTTACCTGTACAAGTTAAGTTCAGAATTGAACTAGATAAAAATTCCGTCATAGATTGGGACAGGCCTCCTATGGTTGAGGAGCTGTTGGGAGTTGATGGGTGGTGGGGAAAGAAGAGTCATTTTTCTTTAGGAGTGTGTCCACTGATAGGTTCCAAGGGCCCCAGTAGATGACACCACAGCCATTTACCTACTAGTTGGACTCAGCAGGTTAAAATAAACATGAAAGGATGACTTGAATTATGGAAATGTGATTTGGAGGGTCCCGTGGGAGTCAGTTGGAGAGGGATGTGAAGTATAGATATGATCAAGAAACACTGTATACATGTATGAAATTTTCAAATAATAAATAAAAATTAAAAGTTCCTACCATAGCATTCTCATGGATCTGCTCCTCCAAGACATTTAACATATCCCTAGACAAGGGAATGAATTCAATTATCCCTGTGACTTTTGTGATTGTTTTAAGATCTGGTTCTCAGTATGTAGGTTGAGTACACAGAATACTCTTCCCATAAGAATGCCAAAGGTTGAACTCTTCATCAAGTGTAGACAATGAAGAATTATATATTTGGGAACTAATTGGTGAATAACTTTAGCATGTTAGTTATTATTTGCACATCTGGTTTTTTCACTCCTTCCAAAGACCTGATGGGTTACAATAGTATTTGACTATCACTCAACAGCAGTGGGAACTGAGTCTAGATAAGATTAATTATACTTCTTACTACCTAAATAAATGTAATTTAAAAATCTTTAAAGGTTATACTCTGTTCCTTCTCCAAAACATATGCTGAAATAGAAATAAATGAATGTGATATGGGTAGACAGGAAAATAGACTTTGGTCTTATTTTGTTCATTGAAATATACAGTATTCTCAACTAGCCCTGCATTGATAAACTATACTAACTTTTTGTATGAAACACCTTTTGCCAAAATAAGATGTTCCTAAAAATTATAACTTTTGTCTGTCAATAGTTCACTTCAATTATTGCTTGGGAAGTTAACCTGAAATGTCATGCATCACTGTTGCATTAGAAATTCAGTTTCTGAGATGAAATTTGGAGCCATAATCAATCATATAGAGGGTTCAGACTTAAAATTTCTGACCCAGAAGAGCAAATGTCTTCACCATCTGAGTCTCTTTATCCAAAGACTAAGAAGATGTCAGTCCCACTCACTTCCTTCATTGCTTTGTATAATGCAAATTCATTCACATTTGTGTGAAAACTTCAGGAAACTGCTCATGCAGAATGATATAAAGGATGGAGACCACAATTGTTGCAATGAAAATGGAACACTGGGGAGTTGAGACTTCCATGTAAGATGGAGGATTAGAGAAGATCCATAAGTACAACTCAACAAAAGAAAACAATGAGGATAATAAACAACCCTATTTCTAGGAGAAAAAGCTAAGCTGGCTGCATTGTATAGTTTGGGCTACATTGAACAGGAATTGCCGTGGAAGCCTAAATGATGAGCTGCAGAAATATCTAGCAGGAGGTCCATTAGCCAGTGAAAATGTGACAGGGGGCCTGACACACCTTGGGCATCTAAGACATAGGACTAGCACAGACAGTGAAGATGAAGGCTGATGTGTGAGCATGATTCTAAAGCAGATAATTTCCACCACTGTGTGGCTTTTGCTACAGTCAGCATAATTGCCAAAAACAAAACAAAACCCTGCTTTCTCCACCTCTATGACATGGATACCTCAGGAACAGCTAACAAGAAAATGAAAGGCTGCCCTGTAGATTAAAGCAAGTCTTAGATATACTATGGACAGAGATGTAAGATCAGCAAATGCTATAGACAGAAACATTTAAGTTTGGCAATAAAACCACAGTGTGAAAATGGAGAAAGCAGATTTTGGCACAGTTGTGCAAAAGATCAGTCTTCGTTGGGACCCTGCATACTCACAAATCTGGTGTTATGGGTTCAAACTGCACTACTCACCACTCTTTCAACAGTGTTTTCTATGATGGCACCAGGAGAGAAAGGAATGAAAATCTACCCCATCTAAGAAATACTGACTATAAAAATGAAATATTTAATCTTGCATAAATATCTCTGAATAGTCTTGTAGTAGTTTTTGTGTTGCTAAACTAGGTTTTTCTTTATATTATGTATTTTCTACAACCATGCCATGGTGTACTCTATTCTTTCTATGCAAAAACTAAGTGTTTTCCCTCTCACTTTCTCTCCCCTCATGTGCTTTTAATCTACCAATTTTTTCAAGACAGGATTTTTCTTCATAGCCCTGGTTATCCTGGAACTTGCTCTGTGGACCAGCATGGCCTGGAACTCAAAGATCCACCTCTCTCTGCCTTCTGAGTGCTCAGATTAAAGGCATGTGCCACCACCATCAAGCAACTTAGAAACTCTTATTTCATACACATCATATCCTACTTAGCTGATCCCCCAATAGATATTAAAAGTTGAAGAGAATATTGTTTTTTAATATTATAGTTAGCTGCTGTGTCATTTTTGAATTAATATTTTCTCTATCCAGTGAGGAAGAACATAACCTAAAGTTTCTACAGTCTAGCTCCCTTTGAATACCGCAAATACCTTAACTGAAAGAATACAACAGGTATGGAAAAAAATCCAACCAACAAAATAAACTGAGATGTGGAACTCCTAATAAATAAATAAAAGAAACATGAAAATCTGAGGCAGAATGACCATTTTGTGAAGTATTAAATCCAAAGTAAAAAATGATTCCAATGAGAGTTGACTGACCAGCCTTTTAGTCTTAAGATTAGAAGCCATCTTGTTACAAGGTCAAAATAAGTTCATTTCTATTTACTGCAAAACTCAAGTTGAGGGGCCTTGAACCTATTTCTGGAATTTGACGTGTTCCAAACTCTATGGTATTTGACTGGACCCTGAACTCTGCCCTGATAAGATATTCTCCCAACAATCTTGAGATGTTCTGCTAAGATGATCTGTCAAATAATCGTATCTGCTGTTTACTTCTCTAATTCACTTGCCAAGTCTATGGAATTACCAAAATTCCTCTGGAAATTCCCAGTGTGCACCTTTCCCCCCTCTATAATGAGGCATGAAAAGTTCATCCACACTGTTCTCCCAAATGCTGCTTTAGAGAGTCAGTCCTGTGTATAGTAAAATAAAGCTTGTTTAATTGACTTTAACTTGGGTAATGGGTCTTTACTCTCACTCCCTGGGATTAACAGAATGAATTAGATGAAATCTCAAGAATAATCCAAGAATGCAGGAACCTCCATGGGGAAAAAAAAAAGCCTATACACAGCATGTTAGAGTTCAAACAACAGATTTTTATCCCTATAGTGTGTGGGTACATACACACACATGCACACACACACACACACACACACACACACACACACACACACACACACACAGTGGAGAGGGTGATGGAGAGAGATAAACTAATTTTTTTAAAGAAATTAAAGAAAGGTAGAGAACAAATAAACTAGACACCAAGTATTGGTACAACAGTGTTGGTATTGTCAAGACTTAAACAAGTTCAACAAACTCTTAGCCAAACTAACCTAAATAGAACACGCACGTCCTATATAGGTAAAAAGAAGAATGAACAGACACCAACAAAATTCAGAAAATCTTTATGAAATACCTTAAAAACATACTCAACTGAATTGGAAACCCTTAAAATAATTTGTTAATTTCTAGGTACATATGACCCACCAAATTAAACTGAGAGAAACAATTTAAACACATCTATAACAATCAATGACACTGAGATTATAGCATAAAAACTTCCAAGGGTGGGGATAGGACAGATTCTGGCTCATTCTGAATTCTAAGACATCTTTAAAGAAGTATTAACTAAATGCTACACAAACTGTTTCATGAAATGTAAGTGGTAGGATGCTACAAATCCTATTTATAAACTCAGTATTGCCTTGATTTTATTTATTTACTGGATAAAGACTTAAGGAAAAATTACAGGATTATTTAGTGCTCCAGTTGACAGTATCAACCTGGGAGAATGGAACCTAAAATTCAGACAGACTAAAGTCTCATGCAATAGCCAACTTTTTTCTGAGCATCAGCCAATTTACACTCCGAGGGCTAACAGGACTCACATGTGTAAAGTGTACAAATACAAGGGCAAGCTACATGTGGTGGATAAGCCACCCATGGCAAAAACATGTTTTTCCATGGAGGCTTATAAACAAATAACAATAGCCAGTTGTAATGAATAATTTGAAGTAAACTCACCACATCTGGAAGGGTCATGAATACACATTCCAAGAAAAATTCTGTGTTTTTAAGAAACTGATGTCAAAAGACTTTTGTCTTGTTTTCTTGGAGTTTTGTCACAAGCACTCAGAATTCTCCTTGAAGGACTCCATTTTTGGACTATAGGTCAATCTTTATGATGAATACAGATATAAAATAGTCAATAAAATACTGCAGATAGAATTCACACATCAGCTTGGCTGTAGTGGAGCATGCCTTTAATCTCGGCACTAAGGAGACAGAGGCAGGTGGATCTTTGTGAGTTCAAGACAAGCCTGGTCTACAGACTAAGTTCCAGGACAGCCAAGGCTACACAGAGAAACCCTGTTTCAAAAAATCAAAAACAAAACAGAAATTCAACACATCAAAAATACAATTAACCATGATAAAATTGGCTTTAGTACAGGGATGTAAGGATGCCTCAACATAAACAAATGAAACATATCACAAACGAACCAAAGGATGAAAATCACATGACAAAATCCAATTATCTCTTCATGATAAAAGCCATAAAGAAAAGTAGAAATCAAAGGAACCAACCTCACTATAATAAAGGCACTATAGAAAAAACATTTAGTGAATATTGTAATGCATGGACAATAACTCCAAGAATTTCAATTAAATTCAAGAAAAAGAAAATGGGATCCAATGTTTTCATTGTCAGTTCAATCTAGTGTGTATGATTTAGGTGGAGTAATTATAAAAAACGATAAATAAAAATGAATACACACAGGAAGAAGTCAAAATATTCTTACTTGCAGAAAACATGATCAATAATAAAAAAAAATCCTAAAAACTCCACTCTTAGGAGTCATAAAAACATAGCTACAATGAGAATTTTAAAACACTGAAAAAAATAAAGACAACACTACAAGTTGTTGGAAAGACTTCCCATAGTTATGGATTGGCAGCATTAATGTAAAAAATAAAAGTGATTCAGTGGGTGGTGGTGATGCACACTTTTACTCCCAGTATTCGTAAGGTAGAGGTAGGCAGATCTCTGAGTTTGAGGCCAGCCTGGTCTACAGAGCAAGTTACAGGACAGTCAGGGGTACACAGAGAAACCCTATCTGGAATAAAGAAAAACAAAACAAAACAAAAAACCTAAAAAAAAAAGAGCAATTCAAAAGCAATGAATATATTCTATACAATCTGTTCAAAATTCTAAAGACATTATTTAGAGTTGCGGGGATAAAAAATTCATATGGAAGCACAAAGGGCCATGAATAACCAAAGTAATCCTGATTAAAAAAAATAATGTTTGTTACTATAATATTATATATTATAATAATTTATCACTGTAATATTACATATTATAACAAATAATATCTGATTTTGAGTTATTCCACAGAGCCAGTGGCAAAACAATAGGATACTGGCACAAATACAGATATGTAAATAAATGCAATAGAATACCCAGTTGCAAATCTATGCAACTAGCCACCTAATTTTTATCAAAGATATCACTCAAAAAATACAGAAAAATAGCCTACTCCACAAACTGGGCTCTAGTGCAAATTCACATTTAGAAGAATAAAAATAGAAAGCTATTTGTCGCCGGGCGGTGGTGGCGCACGCCTTTAATCCCAGCACTCAGGAGGCAGAGCCAGGCGGATCTCTGTGAGTTCGAGGCCAGCCTGGGCTACCAAGTGAGTTCCAGAAGAGGCGCAAAGCTACACAGAGAAACCCTGTCTCGAAAAACCAAAAAAAAAAAAAAAAAAGAAAGCTATTTGTCATCCTAATGAAAAATCAATTTTAGATGGATGAGACACCTTAAGACCAGACCTGAAACTTGAAAAGCATAAGATGAAAAGATCAAGGAAAATACTTTGAAGTTGGCAGAGGCAAGTACATTCTGAAGATTCCAAACATTAAAGGGAACAATGCCAAGACTTGACATAGGATTGTCAGAAATAAAAAAAGTAAGTTGCTAAGTTGCTGTATAGCAAAAGGAACTGAGAGAGAAAAACAGAATGGGAACCTTTGCTCACCACACAATTGACAAGAAACTAAGTGTAGAATATGCAAAGAACTAAAGAAACTACCAAGAAACCAGACAACCCAAAAATGAGCTAATGAAATGAACATAGTTCTTGAAAATGAACTGCAAATGGCCAATGAATGTAAAGACCATCCTTCCTCCTCATACCAATCCTCAAGAACTAAAACTACTGTGATTTTCAAATCATTTTGAGAACAATGATTTTTGTAATTCTCTTCATACACAATATGTGAAGGTTCCTAAAGGAGTACAGAATTTAAGGAGACCTCCAGAAAACAAACACTGAGACAATTTATCCTGCCATTTGATGCTGCCGTTTTGTAATAAGTTTATACTATCAAATAAAAAAGGAAGCTATCTGGAGACAAATGAAGTGCAATTTGCTTCTGAGGAAATTGTATCTGCAAAATTTACTTTATTACCAACTTTTAGTTTGGTCTTGGCTTTTTGTTCTTTTGGCAGTAATGGGGATTAAAGCCAAGGCTCAGCATATTGGGTATGCGTTTGAAAACTGTTCTTTCACTTGCATCTCATAAATATTTAATGTTTGCTCATGACCTCATTTTTCTCACCAAATTATCAACAATGAACAATAACCATTAGTTTTCTCAGAACTATATGTACAGAGCAAAGAACGCCTCCATTTTTTATGTGTAGTTTAGAATGTTCCTTATCTACCATATTGACACATGAGGGATGATTGCAAATTAGTATCTAATATAAATGGTGCTGGCCATCACTCAGCTTATACTAGGAAAACTCAAACTTTTTAATTTAGTCATAAATGAGACAAAGATTGTATGCATCTATGTAAAGAGATTTATATATTTCTACTGACCTAAGAAAAATGACTTGCCTAGGTCTGACTTGGCATGTTTGTATGTTTTGCTGATAGTTGAAAAGCAAAAGTGCAAAGAAAGGATGGGGGTGGTAGCCCACACCTTTAGTACCAGCACTAGGGATGCAGGGGCAGGCAGATTTGTGAGCTCAAGGACAGTCTGATCTAGACAAAGAGGTCCAAGCCAGCCAAGACTACATAGTGAGAAGCTGTCTTAGCGAAAAAAAACAAAAACAAAAACAAAAAAAACCCCCAAAAAACAAAAAACAAAACAAACAAACAAAAACCCCAGAAACTCACAGCCAGACATTACATACACAGACTTTGGAACACACAGCTCTAGATAGGATGTCTCCATTAATTCCCTCCCCTCAGTGCTCAGGAGAGAACCCAGAGGAAGAGGAGGCACAGTGTTAGAGCCAGAACTGATGGAGATCACCAGAACAAGGCCCACTAAATCAACTGAACAAAGCTCATATGAACTCAGAGACTGAAGTAGCAGGGACGTGGTCTGCAGCAGGTCCTTTGCATATGTTATAGCTTCCAGCTTAGTATTTTTATGGGACTTCTGAGTGTGTGAACAAGTGGGCTTTTGATTTGTGTGCTTGATCTTGGGGCTCTTTTCCTTCTGTTGGGTTGCCATGCCCAGCCTGGATGTGATGATTTTGTCATGTTAGATTGCTATCTCTTAGAAAACCATTCTTTCCTAATGAGAAGTTAGTGGATCTGGAGGGGAAGTGAGGTGAGGTGGGAAGTAACAGGGAAGAGGAGGAGGGGAACTGCAATTAGGATATATTGTATAAGAGAAGATGGGGCTGGAGAGATGGCTCAGAGGTTAAGAGCACTGGCTGTTCTTCCAGAGGTCCTGAGTTCAATTCCCAGCAACCACATGGTGGCTCACAACCATCTGTAATGAGATCTGGCTCCCTCCTCTGACCTGAAGGGATATATGCAAGCAGAACACTGTATACATAATAAATAAATAAATTAAAAAAAAAAAAAGAACCTGTCTTAAAGAAAAAAAAAGGAGAGAAGAACCTATTTTTAATAAAAGGGGTAAAAAAGAATAAAAAGGCAAGGAAAGCTGGGCCTTTTAAAGCTAGATTTATTTGTTGGGCAACAATATACTGAATTATACTTTCTGATGAGTATGGATAGGATTAGTGATCTCTGTTGTGTGATAATCATGTGCTCACATGCACAAAACTGGTACTAAACAGATTACACACAGTGAATAGTTTATTTAAAAATCAACATTTTTTTTTTTTTACCAACTTTATAAGCGATTAAAGCATTATTAACAGTGTAGGCTAGGGATTAATGTTCACTAGTTTGGCTGTATTAAACACACATCTCATTTATGTTTTACCATAATTTATTTGAATGTTCCTTGTAAATCTTGTGATGCTAAGAGGTACTGGTGTCGATGGAAAACAGAGTCCAAAATATTTTATGAAGCACTGAGTAAAGGAGAAAAGCAAGTGCCCACAACTAGGACTGCACTCCTATAAAAGCCAATCTTCTGGAACATCTTATGTAGACTAGGTGGGACTTGAACTCAGAGATCTGCGGAGTGCTGGGATTAAAGGTATGTGCCACCACGTCCTGCAATTGGCATCTTTAAAATGAGATTGCACACATGAATTACTTCCTCTCACTACATTACTACAGCCAGGTGAGAAAATTATTTAAAAGGATGGAATTTAATTCAACCCCTCAGTTGAATAAATGATAACAAAATACTGTTCAACAATAACAAAACCAAACTACACTGAATCATAATCAATTTATTTGTGTGTATGTGTGTGTTTGTGTGGGTATATGCATGTGAGTGGAGGTATCCTTGGAGGTCAGATGTATTGGATCTAACAGAGCAGCAGCTAGAAGGGGGCTGTGAACAGCTGGACATGGGTCCTGGAAACTAAACTTAGAAACTATGCAACATCAATATATGCTCTTTTAACAATTGACCCATCTCAGTTTGCAACATTCCTTAATACTAGTAATAGCTACAATGCTTAATTATAACTGATTATGGGATGTAATTAGTTACAGCATGTAGAAAAAAAAATAAATAAAAAATCTTATTTGGAGTTGGTGCAGGCCTCAGGAAGTAAATCACTTGACACTGCAGCCTGTCAAAGTACCAACTCTTGAAGGATGTCTTCTGACCTCCACTCTTGTACATTTGCAATAAACACACATATCACACACACATGAATAACAAAAAAATACAAAAAAAATTCTTATTTGGAGAAAATACACATCACAAAATATAAGTATAGAATCTAAGTTGAGAAAACTGGAGTGCCACGCAAATATATGGAAACTGCCAAGGAACTAACGAGAACATTTTTTAGAAAAAGAACCTACTGTGTAACGACAGCCAAAAAATACTAATTAACATTGATATTTTCAATTTCATACCAAATATAACTATTTAAAAACTACTTAAAGGGCTGGTGAGATGGTTCAACCACATGCCCATAGGCCTGACAATCTGAGTCCCATCTTCAGGACTCATGTGGTAAGGAGAGTTGTCCTCTGACATCCAAATGTATACCTAGAACACTCATGATCAAGCATATATGTGCACAACACATAACTGCAATTTTAAAAAGTATTTACAAGTACCAGATAATAAATGCATTTCAACTCAATTAATCCAATACAGCTCTACAGTAAAGGGTAAAGCACCACCTCATGATTTAAAAATAATACCCATAAAAAATACTTGTTTATTGACTGAAATGCAATTGATTTGGCAAAGTTTTATCACCACAATTCAAACAGTTTATGCTTTTGCTCCTTAAGGTGTTGTCTTCATGGTCTTCAAATGTGAGCTCAAGTTTACTCACCTCTTTGAGCAGCAGGGATAACAGGCATGTGCAATAATACTAAAATTATTCACTAAATTATATTGTCAATGAAAAAAGAAGTAATGTAAAGTCAAGAAGTGTTGAGTAAGAATAGGCAAATACTGTAAACATGCATAACTTTTACTTAATTTCTTTCAGGTTATTTTCAGGAATATTTTATTTACATAAATTTATGTGCTCAAGATATTCACATTTTTCGCTTTTATAAGATTCAATTACATAAGAAAATCACAACATCCTTTTTCTTTTCTGAGTTTCATGTAGCTCAGGCTGACCTTGAACTAGCTCTGTTATGGGTCCCTATTTTCTTTTTCTTTTTTGAGACAGGGTCTGAGTATCCCTCACTGGCCTGGACTTCAGACAGATCTGCCTGCCTCTGCCTCCCAAGTGGTGGGATTAAACATGTATGCCATCACACCTGGATCTCTCATATTTTTAAAAACAACAATTTAATTTGGCTGCAACTGGTTTTTCTTAAGTTTCACAAATTGTATCCATGCCCCCTGTATTCAGGGTTGCAATTTTCTAGAGTCTATTCCCCTCAATGTTGGAATAAAAGGCAAACATTATGATGCCCGATGCAAGAGTAGGTGCTCATCCTATGTACACTTACACATATAGGGAAAATTACACTTTTGCTAATTTTATTTTTTTTTAATTTTATTTACTTTTATGTATACAGTATTCTGCCTTCATGTATGCCTGCACCAGATCTCATTACAGAGGGTTATGAATCACCATGTGGTTGCTGGGAATTGAACTCAGGACCTCTGGAAGAACAGCCAGTGCTCTTAACCTCTGAGTCATCTCTCCAGCCCCCACTTTTGCTAATTTTATATTATCCCCAGTAGATCTCCATCTTTTTATTTAAAGGTATATGTGTGTATTTTGCCTGTATGTGCGTGCAACATTCAGAGACCAGAAGAGGGCACTGGATCACCTGCAGCTGGAGTTAACTGTGAGCTACCATGTGGGTGTTGTAAATTGAACTCAGGTCTTCTGCAAGCACAGCAAAGTATTTGTAACCACTGAGCTACCTCTCAAGCCCAATCTCTCCATTTGTTTTTGGAGAAAGTATATACAGAAAAGTACAAAATATAAAACTTATATAAGAAACCCCACTCATAAGAAAAGCAAGACAAAGCCTGGTGGGATGACCTAGAAGGGAAAGAAAGTTGTTGCCAAGCTTGAGGACCTGAGCTCAATCCCTGGGACTCACACCATGGGAAGAGAACTGATTCCAGCAAGTTGTCTACTGATCTCCACATTTACATTGGAGCATGGGTGTATTCTTGCCCAACACCTCATGCAAATATATAAGTAGATAAATAAATATAAGCCAATAAATAATTATGACAAATATTTTCAAAAGCAAGTTGATTACAGTTACACATGGTTTACACAATTTAAATTCTACCCATTGGGTTTCTTTTCATTGTGAGATCTTTCATGTCTTCGAAGGTATGAGAAATACACAAATTCCTTCCCACACTGATTACACTTGTGGAATTTCTCTCTAGTAGTGTGAGTTTTCTCATGTATTTGGAGGGATCTGGGAAAAGTGAATGCTTGCCCACACTCCACACATACATATGGTTTCTCTCTAGTGTGAATTTTCTCATGCCTGTAATAAGCACTAGAATGGGTGAAGGTTTTTCCACAATATTTACATGTATAGGGTCTCTCTCCAGTGTGAATTCTTGCATGTTTTCGAAGGTACGAGGAAAATGTAAATGCTTTCCCACACTGCTTGCAAATATAGGTTTTTTCTGCAGAGTGAATTCTTTCATGGTTGTAACAGTTGCCTGCACTGATGAAGGCCTTTCCACATTGCTTACATGCATAAAGTTTCTCTTCACTGTGAATTCTTTCATGTTTGTGAAGGTTTGAGGACCGTCTGAATGCTTTGCCACATTGATTACATGCATAACGTTTCTCTCGAGTATGACGTCTTTCGTGCTGGAGAAGATGGTAAGAATGAATACATACTTTCCCACAATGTTTACATATGTAACTATGCTCCCTTTTGTGTGTTTTTTCATGATTTTGACGGGCCATGGAATACATGAAAGTTTCACCACAATGTCTACATGAGTAAGTTTTCTCTCTTGTGTGAATTCTCTGATGTTTGGTCAAGTGACTGGAATTAGTGAAGGTTTCTCCACATTGCTTACATGTAAATGGCTTTTCTCCAGTATGGATTCTGGATTCACATATTTGAACATAACTTTCTTCCTTTAAGGTTTTCTCGAATTTCTTATATTCGCGTGGCTCATCTCCAGTGAGAGTTCCTTCATAATCTTGATGAGATGTGAGATTACTATAAGATTCATTAGACTGTTTATTTTCACAGATGTTCTCTGTACCAGGAGCACTCTTGAGTATTTGAAAGGACTCAGAATAAATGAAATCTTTCCAACATTTTTCATGTTTAATAGCCTTCTCCACATGTCCCTGACACCCATAGGGTTTCTCTTCAGTTTGACTTCTAACAAGCATATCGGAGGATAAGTGAGCATTGATGTCTTTTACATACATAGTGCTTTCATAAACTGTGACTGCAGGATGATTGTCCGTATTAACAGTATTCTCTGGCATCTGTTGGTGGGTCTTTCCACACTGACTACCATGTTCATAGCCACAGAATCGTTCAATGACCTGAATTCTGAAAAAAAAGGGGGGAGGCATTATTCTTGTTTTATAACTAGATAAGTACTAAATGATAGACTCTGTGGTCTCTGCCTGTTAGTGCAGTATTCCGGAGGCAGTGGCAGGAAGTGAACAAGCTGAGGGCAAACTAGGCCACAGAGACCCTGTCCTGAGAGGGGAAAATGTACTGAGTTGATTTCCGTTAGAACTTATGAACATAAAAGAACTAAACATTCAGCAAGGGCTGAGGACAGCACATAACCATAAAAGGTTCTGTAGTACTATTTCGATAAACACTGTTGGGCTGGAGAGATGGATTAGTGGTTAAGAGCACTGGCTGTTGTTCCAGAAGACCCTGGTTCAATTCCCAGCATCCACATGGCAGGTCACAACTGTCTGTAACTCAAGTTCCAGGGTATCCAGAATCCTCACACAGACATACATGCAGGCAAAACACCAATGCATGTAAAATAAAAATAATTAGAAAAAAAAACATTGTCTATGACAGTTAACCAAGCTTAATATTTCCTTATGAAATATAACATGACACAGTTAACCAAGCTGAATATTCCTTATGCAATATAACATGAATCAGACATTCTTAAATTTTAAATAACTGAATATCCTTCAGGCAGTTTATCGAAGATGGGTCTCATTCTAAACCCCAAACTCACCTTCACTTCACACACAAACCTTATAAGGTCCAAAGGTAACTTGCTAAAAATACATCAAATGCTTTTGTAGACAACAGGCAGTTTTATATAAGGAACCACTAGAAAATGTCTTAGCTAAAGGTTGCACCACATTTTGTTACTACTCCATCAATAGTGCAGTAACAGGTATAAGCTACAAAATCCACATGAGTACTACATGAGAGTTAGGATCATCCATTCATGAATTCTCAAGCTGAGTGAAGTTTTACAGAAAATCAGAGATTAAGTCAATTTACATTTTGATCTATTGGAATAGCTTCCTTATTTCTCAGATTTGCTCTCCCTCTTAAATATCTGATGCAAATACCCTTTTCTGTAAGTATAAATTACCTCAGATTTCTCTGTAGTTTTCGGTAGTCCACATCAATATTTTCTTCTTCTGTTTTCCCTAGAAATTAAAAGCAAGAAATCATTATGTTATTCAAACTTATACACACATTATTACTTTCCAGCTTTTTCTCTTGTATAATGTAAGCAGGCATGCTATATTTACCACGATGCTCCCTTTCAATATTTCAAGTCATATAATTAAACAGATGACTAAAAAACAGTTTTTCTCCAACTGAATAATGAAATTATACTGTTTGGTTGTTGTTGTTACCTATGGAGATCAGGTTCATAAATGTTTCCATCATCACATCTGTGTAGAGCTTCTTTTGAGAAGAGTCCAACAGAGCCCACTCTCCTAGGGTGAACTTCACAGCCACATCGTCAAAGGTCACTGGCTCCTAAAATAAATCACAGCATTGTTAAAATGCAGTTACTAGAAGATTTAAAAAAAATAAAATAAAAACACTGGAGATACATTAGTCACTTGATAAGTTCCCTCCACGCTTTCTTTCTTTCTTTTTTTTTTTTTTTTTTTTTGGTTTTTCGAGACAGGGTTTCTCTGTGTAGCTTTGCGCCTTTTCCTGGAACTCACTTGGTAGCCCAGGCTGGCCTCGAACTCACAGAGATCCGCCTGCCTCTGCCTCCCGAGTGCTGGGATTAAAGGCGTGCGCCACCACCGCCTGGCCCCTCCACGCTTTCTTAATATTCACTTTATATCATGGCTAGCACAAACGAATTAATTATCCTCTCATCTTGTCACACAATTCTAAGGGTAGTGTATGCCAAAATAATAAAGGAAATATAGATCATAGTGCTTTGTTGTGATGCTGGTTTCAACTATTCTTTGTACCTTACACCACAAGTTTCTACAACTTAGAACCCACAGTGAACATCAGCTCTGCTGAGCATGTACAGTTATAAATGATGTTAGGAAACTTCATCTGATTCTAAAGCCTGAGAATTTCACATAAAATGGGTGTAAACAGCTTAACTATAAAGAGGTGCTCACTGCTACTCAGCAGTTTATGACAACATAAAATAGTATTCCATAAACTATTATCACTATCATTCTCAACATATTTCTTAAATAGTGAAACATGGTTTTTTTTTTGTTTTTTTTTTTTTTTTTGTTTTTGTTTTTCGAGACAGGGTTTCTCTGTGTAGCTTTGCGCCTTTCCTGGAACTCACTTGGTAGTCCAGGCTGGCCTCGAACTCGCAGAGATCCGCCTGGCTCTGCCTCCTGAGTGCTGGGATTAAAGGCGTGCGCCACCACCGCCCGGCAGAAACATGGTTTTTATAATATCAAAACTTGAAAGAAAATTTACATGAAAAATCTCTTATCACTGGTCTCAAAGATAATAGGAAACACCTACTCACAAATTTTGTTACTTAGAGATCACTGAGCATATCCTTTCATGATTTGCTCATTGAAACCTGGGGCCTATGCAGGATCGCTTGGCTCGGCCTGGGAGGAGGGGACTGGACCTACCTGGACTGAGTCTACCAGGTTGAACTCAGTCTGTGGGGAAGGCTTTGCCATGGAGGAGATGGGAATGGGGGGGGGGGGTTGGGGGGAAGGTGAGGGGGGACGGGAGGGGGGAGAACAAGGGAATCCGTGGCTGATATGTAGAACTGAAGTGTATTGCAAAATAAAAAAAAAAAAAAGAGTGACATCATTAGGAAGATTGTCTTTATAGAAGTTTCTTATAAAAGAGTATTAATTCAAAATAGGTAGTTTCTCAGAGTCCAACCTTGACTTAATACTAAATAAGACAAAGGGTAATTCTCTGTCCTCAAATATAAACACTACAGATTATTTTCAATAATGTCAGTGGACAACGACAGCACAGGAACAACGGCCCTGTTCTTAGAGATCAACATCACAAAACAGATGCTATCATGGCTGCATCAAATTCTGTAATTCCCACAAAACTTTCCGATTGTTAACAAGAATTACTTATTAAAATCTGTGTGCAATAATAATAAATGTTGGACACCACAAAAATACTAGGAATAAGAAAATGATAGCTTGAACCAGACATGGAGGCATATACCTGTATTACCAGACTCACAAGAAGGGGGAAGGAAGACTTTGAATTCAAAGCCTGCCTGGGCTGGATAGCAAAAACAAGAAAAATAAGAAAGACTATGATAAGCTTTTTACTCAGGGAACTACACCATAAAGACAAGATGAACAGAACAGAGGAAAGTACAGTAGACTTCAACGACATGAAATACAAACAGAAATTTCATTAACAAGAGAGGAGGTCTTGATCAGCAATGAATCTGTTTGCTGTATAAAGTGGTAGCAACTTGGTATCTATTTGGAAGCATGTGCTATAATCTCCTCTGTTTTGTGGACAACAATCAAGTATCATAAGAAATGGGGAAGATGAAAATAGAGCCATGAGGTACATGTAGTAGCTTCAAGGTAATTACAAAACAGTGAGGCTGACGCAGGCAAAAAGCACAATAAAATCCACTCTAGACTATGTGGATAACCAGCTTCATGCTACCCTTGTCTCATAACTAGATAGTCAAAAAAAAATTTTAAAGATGAAAAAAATAAAACAACAAAAACAAAACAAAAAACTTTGAAAGCCAGTTAACCAACAACCTGTGGATGTAAACAATGAACTTCCTCTTGCAAGAGAGAAAAAAGTTATCTCTATAGACTGTATGAAGAAACATAATAGACAAAAATAAAAGGAAGTGAAAGGCAACAAAACAACAGTATCTGCAGTACATGCAATGTACACAAAACATGAGTAAGTGAACACACAGCTGAAAATACCACATAAAACATAGAAAGTAAGATCCGTAGCCCTGAGTGAGGAATTTGACAAGTAAATGTGTAGTTTTGAGAACCACTGAACACCAATACTTTATACAAAAAGGATCACCCAATTCACATCATTCCCATTTCCTATAATATAAATGAAGGGACTCTAGCCAGACAAAGCATGGCAAACATGGCTCTGGCAGGCCTTGCCCTTCTCTCCCATCCCCTCTGTCTTGCTAAAAACCATTAGATTACACTCCTAAAGCTAGCCATCAAGTTCTGTTCCCTTATTTGACCACTTCCTCCTCCTGAGGCTGACTACCAAGGTTCTCCTATCAACGTATTGACATCCAGCAATCAAAAGCCCTCTTTGGCTCACCTAATTAACATGTCCAATCAAAATTAAACACCTCATCCTAACACATGGTCTCCCCTTTTACCTTTATAAACTGCCATCTGCCTATGGGCCATGTCTGTCTCCTCTATCCAAAGGCAGTTCTTTGTCCTCTGGGACTATTGCAGAATATTAGTTGAAGATGTATTACATTCATTTATGCTGTACAATATTTGATTAATGATGTAAAGATGTGTTGCATTCTTACATGTTATATCTGTTTAACTCTGTGAAGCTGTGTTACTTTGCCTGTCTAAAACACCTGACTACTAAAGGTCTAATAAAGAGCTAAATGGCCAACAGCTAGGCAGGAGAAAGGACAGGTGGGGCTGGCAGGCAGAGAGAATTAATAGGAGAAATCTGGGAAGAGAGATGGGGGAGACAGAAAAAGGAGGAGAGGAGGACACCAGGGGCCTGCCACCCAGCCACACAGTCAGCTGTGGAGTAAGAAGAAAGGTATACAGGAATAGAAAAAAGTAAAATCCAGAGGCATAAGGTAGACAGGATAATTTAAGTTAAGAAAAGCTGGCTAGAAATGAACCAAGCTAAGGCAGGACATTTATAAGAACGAATAAACCTCTATATATTTATTTGGGAGCTGGGTGGCGGGCCTCCCAAAAAGTAAAGAGCAAAATGAAGCAACAACACCAGGACAAACACTCTGCTCCCTCTCCCTTGTTCCCTCCCCCTTCTCCCTCCTCCTCTTTGTCTCGTTCTGCCCTCTGTTTCTCTGGGGCTAATATATCTTCTTGGTTCTGAGAACTTGGCCTTGAGCCAGTACAGATCCTTTCATAAACCTTAATGCAATCTACATCCAGTCACATTTTTCTCTAATGACAGAGAATGTATTTTGTGTTTATACTTAGCATAGTGAGTACTATTTTTTAAAACATCTCTAGAGTTACATTGGAAATGTCCTAACAACATGTCAACTAATTCAAACTGGGAAATAAGTTAATCCTAACCTCAGGCATTAGTACATGTGAATCATGACAAAGAAAAGAAGATAGGATGCTTTTGATGGTAATACCTTCAACAGTCACTCTTTAAAGGTTCCAAGGTAAAGCTATAATAACTATAGGTTGGATGCAGTGGCACACATCTTTAATCCCTGCCCTTAGGAAGCAGAGGCAGGTGGATTCCTCTAAGTTCAAGAGCAGTCTGATCCACATAGTGAGTTCCAGGCCTAGCCAGGGTTACATGGTGAGATGCTGTCTCAAAAAAGAAGACGGCAAAAACAAAACCCCAAACAACAACAGTACATTGTGTAGTGAAAAGTTACAAGGATAAAACAGGAAAGCAGGAAGAGAAGAGTAGGGCAGAGTCAGCCCAGCATTATAACCATACAGGCACCAGCTACTCACTTTAATGGAGTCTCAGCAAATTCGTTTTTGGTTTTTTGAGACAGGGTTTTTCTTTTTAGCTTTGGTGCCTGTAGATGTAATTCTAAACAGTCTTATTAAATAAGAAATACAGAGCCAAATAGTTAAAAGCCCAGAGATCAAGCAGTAGCCAAGAGCTAAGACCACCTTATCTTAACACCAGCTGCTGTCTTTCCCCTGAGAAAAAAAGAGACCTACTTCCTGTGTGACTGTCTTTTTATTGACTTTCTGTTCTGCCTTCTCATTGGTTTTAAACCCAACCACATGACTTCTTCGTCACTGCCTGTCTATACAGACCTCCAAGTCTCTATGGTTGGTACTTGGATTAAAGTGTGTGTCACCATGCTGGCTGTGTCCTTGAACACACAGACTCTGCCTACCATGTGATCAGATTAAGGGTGTGTGCTACCATTGCCAGACTTCTGCTTATTGGCTATGACGTCTGATCCCCAGGCAACTTTTTTATTAACATACAAATAAAATCACATTTTAGCACAAATAAAATATAACCATAGGCACTTTTTCTGGAACTCACTCTGTAGCCCAGCCTGGTCTGGAACTCACAGAGATTCTCCTGCCTCTGCCTCCTGCATGCTGGGATTAAAGGCATGTGCCACCACCGCCCAGCTTTCCTCAATTTCTTTAAAGGAATTTTTCATTTCCTCCTTAAGGGCCTCTATCATTGTCATAAAGTTATTTTCAAAGTTATTTTCTTCTGCTTCATCTGCATGGGGATGTTCAGGTCTTGCTGTTAGCAAAATGAAAACAATGCAGTTCACTGTGAAAATTTCCATACATGTACATTACAGACTTTTATGTACATGTTCACTCTCTTTATTA